GGTTTATGATGTTTCCTTTGTAATATTTAAAAAAAATTAGATTTACCAGCATCTGTTTCAGGTCTTATTTTCGTGTTCTATTGATCTGCCTGCCAATTCTATTTTTAGATCAGATTTTTTTAATTGTTTACTTTGTAATACTACACAGGACAAGTTATCCCTTACTTCCACCCATTAGTCCCCTTTCACAAAATTTCCTTTGGTTGCTTTTTGGGAGGAGGGTGGAGCAATAAGTAGTAGGATTCGTTGTTCCTTAATCCCATTCTTTAGCTAAGGCTATACAAATATGTTATTAGAACAGTAACTTTTTACTATAATTTGAGAGTATATAATTTATTCATTTAACAGCTCTATCCGTTTCTCTGAAAATACATTTTAAAAGGTGAAAATGAAACACAGTTTTGTTTCCAACCACTGAATAGTTTCATATGCCTTAATGTAATTTTCTTTTTCTTTTGCTGGTTTTAGCATTTTGTATTTTATCTTACGATGGTATAGCTTGGTTAATAGGTTTACATTTCAGGAATAGAAAGTTATTCCTCAATGAGTATTTGATGGGTATTATGAAATATATTGTTCTTTTGTTATTGTTCTTGTTTAGTTTTCATTTCTGAATCATAAACTTGACTCTACAATCCAGCAAGACTTGGAAGAGGATAAGGAAAATATGGAGCCCACACAAATGCAGCAAGAGCACAAGGCTTATAGGATCTTGCAAGCAGACAAGGATGAGGGGTGCTCTCCTGAGCTACAGAAGGAATGCTCTGATGGTTAAGATAAGATAGATGCAAGTCAATTTGTTAGAGTTGTCCACAGTGGGCAATGCCCACTACATGTGTGTGGATTGAAAAGAGAAGTGGTCCAAAGACTGAGCTCTAGGGGGCTATTGTGTTCAGAGGCCAGGAAGAGAACTCAGCCAGCAAAGGAAATTTAGGTATAGGAAGGGAAAGAGCGTTAGAGTATTGTGTCTGATGAATACGTTTTTCAATAAGAAGGAGATGATTAACTGTGTTAGGAGCTGCTGAATTGTATAAAAAATAAGAGCTCAGCCCTGATGATTAGTCTTGGTCAGACATATGTCGTTGGTGAAGTTGCCAAAATTGTGTTCAGAGAGTGGCATATTGCATGTGTGGCCCATTCGTCGTGGTCCCAATACTGACTCCAACTTTTCACTGGAATATTTTAATCCTGTTTTAACTGTAAGATCAGTGCTTGGCCAAGTGCTTCAAATGTAAAAGTTATTTTGTGATTTATCTTTTTTTCTTTCTTTTGTTTGAAGTCCTATGTGTGGGTGTGTTGTGCCAATAATTGTTTCTTCAAGCAAACTGTTATATGCTCATGGATATAGCATATAATTTTGGAAATTATAATAAGAAAAAAAACTAAAATGAGCTACTTAATTTGAAATTTAATCTAAAGTGCAGCCACTTTTCTCTAGGACTTTTTTTTTGGGGGGGGGCACTGAGGCTTTTCTATAAACATCACTGAATTAAATGATGTGATTGACACTTATATCACCCTATGACTTTGGGATGGCTTTTGGGGTTGGGTGCTGATGTAATTTCTGGGCAAGCGACCTCCAACAGAGCTGCCCAGTTGTTGCAGAGAAGACCTTCCTAAATGGGGACAGGGGTATTCTGATGAGGGAAATGCAAATATAATTATTCCACTGGTGGAACATGCAGACATGCTTTCAAGAGCCAGTGTTCTCAATCTGTTTCCTATCTCCATGACACATTCATATGGAGGAATCCTTACCCAGATGTAAAAGGAATATCTTTTATTTAACACTCAAAGAAATTATAAAGATCCTTTAAATTTAGGAAGCTAATGACGGAATCGGGGAGATATTTTGCATTTTTATAACATCTCCATTAAATTTGCGAAAGATCAGGCTAAGGGAGAACACCTCTGAGTCAGCATAATTTTAAAATTAAATCATCAAGGTAGACTGAGATTGAAATAAGGAACACGGGATGGCACTGAGAGTGCTGGAATGTGGCTCTTTGAGTAGATTCAGGGGTAAAACCTCCGGAGTTCTAGATACCTCTTTTAGCACCAGAAGATTATGATAATAGGTGCGATCAGAAGCTTCTCTGATTCTTTGATTTAAGCAACTATCTCAGAAGAAAGGACCCACTGAGCTTATCTACTAAACAAGATTTCCTCCTGAAGATTTGGCAAAGCCATTTCTATTTTACTTAAATTGCCTACATTTTATGTGTCTATCAGTGGCTATTGGGAAATATAGACCTTAATGATGCCAAGTTAATTATAGGAGTTTAAGACCAAATATTAGTCGGTGGACTATGTTGTTCTGAAGTATCAGGTCAGTATTTTGAGGAAGTTGAGTAAAAACAGGGAGGAATACATTCTTATTTTATGATTCTTATTTCAGAAACTCAGAATCTGAACTACTTACATAAATTGACATCAGTACTCTTGTCCCACTTTTGACTCCTTATATTTTGCTTTGCCAAAAGTCCAGATGAGAAAAAAGTGGAAATAAGGAAACTTGTTTTATGTGAGCTAAATTACTTGTTAATATGTGCTATTAAAGGCTGAGAATGAGTTTTAGAATTTGAAAGTTCATTGTACTTATTATCTTCCAATCAAGCCAAAGTTATTGAGAATACCATATGGTTTTAAAAGATATATTTGGTGTCTTTGGGAACTGGGGGCTACTAAATCATTAACAGCTGCCAGAATGGAACAGACCAAATGTACTTGGAATTTAGTCCTTTGTAGTGGGGAAGTTTGTGGGTTTCCTGGTTCAGCCCATCTGATGAGAAGAATAACTCACAAACATGTTAGCTAGTTGTACAGGATGAAAATTTGCCAAAGAATATGATAGATGAGAGTGAAGATAAATTTAAAAGACTGTGTCATTAGTTGAAAAAAGATAAAGACAATTAAAGAGAAAAGTAATATTGCCAATTGTTAAGAGTTTCATCAGGTGCAGGGGTTCTCAACCTAGGAATTATTTATATTTGGGCCAGAGAATTGTTTGTTGTGGGGTCTCTCTTGTGCATTGTAAGATGTTTAGCAATATGTCTAGCTTCAACCACTGGATGCCAGCAACATCCTCTCTCCAGATGTGACAATCAAAAATGTCTCCGACATTGCCAAATGTCCTCATGAGGCAAACTTGTCCCTGATTGAGAGCCACTCGGCTAGACTACACAATAGCCCTGAAATCAAGTTGTTAGTATGTAGATGTTTTTAAAATTTCGAGATTGGGTAAGATCAGTTAGATGTAGTGAGAGGAATAAGGAGGCAAAAAGACCAAGGACTGAGCCCCAAGGAACTCAAACTTTCAGAGATCCCATGAAAGTATAGGAGTGGGCAGAGGAGACTGAAAAGGAGAAATCACAAAGGGAGGAGGAGAGGGGGAAGAGTTGTCACAGAAGGTAAGAGAAGAGAACGTAAAACTAAAGCCTACACTCGATGAATAGCTGTGGGGGTTACTCGGTTGTGCAAATCATGATAGTAATTCATAACCAACTGAAAAGTGATGCTCGCATTTCTATTTCCTCACTGGTCAACTCCTGTCTCATAGGTAAAAGCGTCTGATGCGGACGCAGGACTCTATGGCTTGGTCGAATATTCTCTTTATGACGGATTCCAAAGCTACGAAGCACCTCGAGCCTTCCAGATTGACCCACATGATGGGCAGATCTGTGTTTCTCAAGATATTGACAGGGAAAGGGACCCAGCCACCTATGATCTCTTGGTGAAAGCAAGAGATGGGGTAAGTCTTTGTGTATGAAATTTTAGACAGACTCAAAAGTGAACCACTATGTATATATTACGGAGTACTAAGGATTGTCAGTGGCCAATACTGTTTCATAAATCACTACTTCTTTCCTTTTGCTGGAGAATTTCCAATCAAACACCAGACATTATGTTATTTCATCCATAAATAATATCTCTAACAGGTAAGGATTTTAAAAAAAACATAACTATAACAAATTAACATTAATTAATTAATTTCTCATATATATTCCATTAAAAATTTTGGGGGTATCCAAAAATGTATTTTAATAGTTTGCTTACTGGGATCAAGATTCAAATAAGTTCACAAATTGTTTTCATCACTATCTTCCTTAAGTTTCAATCTATGTTAGCTCCCCACCCCCTTACCGTTTCTCTTAGGATATTTATTTTTTGAAGAAATCAGGTCATTTGCCCTTTAAATTTTCTACATTCTGAACGTGGCTGATTCCATCCCTGGGATTCATTTACAATGTTCTTTTATGATATTCCCTATAACTGTCATTTAGAGCCAGAGGTGATGCTGTGAGCTTTTTATTGCATCAGCAGACACACATCATTATTTCATTACGGGTAATGACATGGTGATTTTTGAATTCTCTTACTCTTTTGCATTTATTTTCTGGAATCTTCAACTAAAAATAAAGTACTCTCATTAACTAGTTGATTACCCTGCAATATAATTCATACAGTAAAGGCAAATTATACGTGGTTATTTCTCTTTATCAGCTTTTAGAATATTGAGTTGGTGCATTTGCCATCTCCAAAGAATACTAATGATGTTTTTTCTAGTTTTATTATGAAGTCTTGGATTTTAATATATTTGATCTGTTTCATACATTACCAACCTTATCCTTTCTGATGTCCATATTGACCCATCAGTGAAGGAACCTTCAAATTGGCTCATGTCTTTTTTTTAACTTTTAAATTGACATTTTTTAAAAATGCAGAAGAGTGTATAAATTATAAGTACTTCTTATAGGATTTTTGCAAAATGACAACATGAATGGAAGCAGACGAAGAAACATTACCAGTGCCCTGGAAGCCCCGCTCTTGACTTCTTGCTGCAACTATCCCTTCCATCCTCGTACCCTTTAAGAATAATCATTATTGACTTCTAATACCAAACATTATTTGCCTATTTTTGAACTTTTCATTGAATGGATTCATACAGTATGTGTTTTTGTTGCTTTTGCGCAACATCATTTGTAAAAATCATTCACGCTATTGTATGCAGCAATAGTTCACCCATCCTCATTGAATTATAGTATTCTTTTCTGTGAATTCACAATAATATTTATCTATTCTATAATTGAACATAACCATTTTTTATTACAAATAGTGCTTCATGAACTATCTCATACATGTAATTTGGTGAACAAACATAAGAATTTATAGCAAGTTTATATTTAGGCATGGAATTATTAGACCATAAGAAAACCAAACAACTTTTCAAAATGATTTGTACCATTTATACTCCCACCAGTAAAGTATGAGAATTTCATTTGCTCCACGTTGTCCAAAACATTTGTGTTTTTTTAAATGCTGTGCATTTAGATGTTTGTGTGTGTGTGTGTGTTTGAAAAATTTTTATTGATTTCAGAGAGGAAGGGAGATTGAGAAAGAGAAACATTAATGATCAGAGAGAATCATTGATCGGCTGCCTCCCACACACCCCCTATTGGGGATCGAGCCTGCAACCTGAGCATGTGCCCTTGACTGGAATTAAACCTGGGATCCTTAGTCAGCAGGCCGAGGCTCTAGCCACTGAACCAAATCAGCTAGGGCCATTTGTTATTTAATCTCTTTTTAATGATAGCAATGCAGGTACCTATGTAGTGGTATAGCACATTGGGGACTTTGCATTACCTTGAAGAATGATGAATTGAGTACATTTTCAAATGTTACTGGCTATTTGTTTAACTTGTTTTGTGAAGTGTCTATTCAATTCTTTACCCATTTTCTATTGTACTGTTGGCTTCTTTTCTTATTGTTTTTTATTAATTCTTTATATTATTGGCATTCAAGTTCTTTCTTGGATATATTTGTTGCATATATCTTCTCCCATTCTGTGGCTTGCCTTTCACTCCCTTATTGGTGTCTTTTGAGGAACAGAAGCTTTTAATTCTAATAAAGCTCAGATTATCTATATGTTTCCCTTTATAATTAGTACTCGTTCCCTTTACAACTGTCCTTTAAAGAAATATTTGCTTATCCTAGGCACAGAAGAGTATCTCTTATGTTTTCTTCCAGAAACGTTATTGTTTTACCTTTTACATTTATTTTTTTTCAATATAATGGGAGGAAGGTTTATTTTTTCCAGTATGGGTATTCAGTTGACCCAGCGTCCTTTGCTAAAATGATCATTCTTTCCTCACTATACTGAAGTATCACTTTTGTCATGAATCATTTGACTGTGTATGTGTGTGTATTTCTGGACACCCTATTTTTTACTTACTTGTCTAACTTTGTACTAGCGCCATACTCTTTTAATTTTTTTATCTTTATAATAGGTCATGATTCATGTATTCTTTTAGCTTTGTTTTTCATTTTCAAGATTGCCTGGGCTATTCCTGACCATTTCCACTGGCATGTACATTTTAGAAACAGCTTGTCTAATTTCCATGACATTGCAGCAAAGATAGCTTACTATACACACAGTTTTACACTTTTCTTTTCACTAAGTCTATTTTGGAGATTTTCTTTGTTACTGACTATTCCCTTATGTAGATAGGTACTGCTAACACCTTTCTGGTCTAATCCTTCTCTTTTGAAATTAGTGAGAGAATCCGCCTACTTAAGATATGTCAATGAGGAAAAATGAGTCTGAATATATTTATTGCAAGTAAACATGTATAAACTAACATGAAAGTATTCAGAAAAATTACTGTGAGCTATTACTATATTCAGTAAAATTACTATGATCTATTTGGTTAGATTTTATAAACCCCTAACTATGTGATTGCAGGAGGTCTTGAGTCTATGTAAGACATCATGTAGTAAACAAAAATAGGAGTAAACAGAGGAGTTTAAATTAATTCAAGTCTCTGTGATGGTTTAAAACTCAACATATGTGCACACAAATATTTACCCAAAGCTTCAGAAATATATTCTCAATAGATTTTAAGGCAATTATAAAAGGCCATCCTAGGATTGAATAGCCAGTTTAATTCTAATACTATAGTAGTCAAACATCTGTTTCTAATTAGTTGGTTTCAGATGACTTTGTAAAAATGTACCTAAAAATTATCTTAATAGAAATAAGATCACTTGATGCCAGAAAATTTTTTACTGATAAAAAAAGCAGTGTACTAATTAGGATTATTGGCAGAGGAATAAAAAAAATCAACCCAGATATTTAATTTAAGCCTCCTTTCTTACTTCTTTCTGTTTTTATATTGAACATACTCTGCAGACTTACTCTATGGAAAGGCCTGCCTTTTCTCAGTTTACCAGTCTCTATGGCAACATTCAAGTACAGCTTTAACCACAAAGCTTTCCCAGCTTGAACAAAGGGGATGCATTTTCACCCCAGCCAAAAGGTATTTTCTTTTCTAGATAACTAAGAAAGGGTTTACAGGCTGTGTAGCAGCTTTTGATAGCTTTTAGAAGTCAAAGAGGAAACATTCTTCAGGGTGGGGATTGCTATGGTCTGAATGTTTGCAATGCTCCAAATTCATATGTTGATGGTCTTAGAAGATGGGGCCTTTGGAAGGTCACCAGGGTGGAGCCCTCATGAATGGCATTAGTGCTCTAATAAGAGACCCCACAGAGCTCCTTAGCCTCTTCCCTCATCTAAGGGCACAGCCAGAAGTTGGCAGTGTCTGGGCCATGCTGGCACCTTGACCTTAGACTTCTAGCTTTCAGAACTGTGAGAAATTTCTGTTGTGTATTAATCTCCCAGTTTATGGTATTTTGTTAAAGCAGTCTGAATGAACAATGATGTATATGAATCAGAATATTCTTGTGTAAAAACCCCTTCTTTTGTAGAAAGAAAATCCTCCAACAAAGCACAACACAGTCTAGATTATTAGAACAGAGAAATCCTCCCTGCAGGTACTTCATATTCAAGGTGATTCATCATAAGCCCAGCCCTGGCACAGATGGGAACTGGTCTGCACCCTGCCACGTTTAATGTAGGTTTTATTATTATTTAGGCATGAGTAAGGAGATAATTGGTATTTTTAAACAGTTTTTTTTATATTCACAGATCCCCAGAGGAGGCACCAAGGGAGGGAGTGTGTGTACACAAGGGAAACCCCGGGGTCAGGAGGCAGAGGGAGAGAGGACACACTTCAGGCAGGGGTTTCCAAGGGAAGGACGGCGAGAGGCAGAACTAGCAGGCTTATGATTGGCCAGTTTGAATAGGTTCAGCGGAATCTTGGGCATAGAAGCTGCCTCTGGTTATCTGGTACCCGACTTTGGAGTGATTAGGGTAGGTGCATTGTGTCCTGGAGTGTGAAATCCCCATAAAGGCTGTGGTTGGGGTGTGGGCTCTGGAGTGGTTGGTTTGCATTTGAAAAACATGCTCACCTGATCCTGGTCAGTCCCTCCAGGATCAGAAGGTCCCAGATGTCAAAGTATCAAAACACAGAAAATAGAAAACATGGCCAATACACTGCTCTGGTGCAGAGTCCCCTTGAAGAGGAAGGCAAAGGGCTCGCCAGAACTCCCGGTATAGGTAAGACTATGCAGAGGAAGCAGCTGCCTTGTTTCCCTCCAAGTTATTGGAGATAACACCCAGTAATACTGGGGGAATTCACTACTCAATTTAACTGTTGGCCCAGGGTAGCATCATCAATCACCAAAGAACGCTTTGGGCACAACATTGGTCACTTTCAGCAACTTCTTTTTTGTGTCAAGCCCCATGTGGTCCCATACAAGCTTCATTCAATTCTGCTCAGTCCTGGGCAGATAGTCCTCCTCCTCCTCCTCAGGCACCACCAACATGCACTCTTCCTCTTCCCCACTCCCCTCTCTGGTGTCATATTTCTCATATTCACTTCCACATTTTGCATCTTCTATCTCATCTCCATTCTTTTTCAAGTTTACCTCCTCCAGATGCTCTTGAGTGTTTGGATCCATCTCCACCCCCGTCTTCTACTCTTTTGTCAAGTCATCGAGGTGAACTGCTTCAATCATACACCCGCAAACATAAAGCAGCTCGTCCTTCATGGCCAGTACAAAACTGGAGTGAGAACTAGGCTCTATTAGAGGGCCACTGGTTTGTCAGAATCGCCTTCCTCTTTCCTGGTGTCTGGGGCAGAGGGTACATGTTCAATGGTGATCAGAATTGCATTCTCTATGGCCACCACTTTGACCACCTCCAAGGGCTACGAGGTGCCAGCTTCCCCACATTC